GCTGAGGCAAGACAACTGCTTGAACCGGGAGGCAGAGGTTGCAGTGGGCTGAGATCGCGCCACTGCATTCCTGGGTGACAAGAGCAAAACTCTGTCTCAAAAGCAGCTCTGCATGAGGCCCCCTTAGAGGAAGGGCCTCGGAACCTGACCTCCTCATCCTGTTCCATGCCTCCATCCTTAACAGTGGCAAGCCCAGTGTGGTCAAATGCAGGTTCCAGAAATACTCCTGGTCATCAGGTCTGGCATTTCTCTGGAAGACTGTCCACCAGAGGCCTAAGCTGGTCTCACTCCTCCCACACTGTGGTTTGGGCTGACTGGGAAAGAGCAGGGCTACAAAAAAGAAACTGTCTGCAGGTGAACATGCTCACCATTTTACTTCTAACTCTCCAAAGCTAGGTGGCTTTTTTTCTCAAGACATATTCTTTAAAAATGTACTACTTCTGGCTAAGTAGAAAATTCTAACTGACATTACTCTTTCTCTCCGAAAGAACAAAGTTTAGCCATTAGGAAAGCCCCGGGGCTAATTTTTTTTCATATATGGAAAAAATTAAATTATGTGCTTAAACAACTTTACCCTAAAATACCCACTAGAAGTATTGAACACGGAGCTTCACTGACAGCCCTCTCACGTGTCTTCTATTCAACTGCTGTATATCGCTGTGATTACTGTGAATACAATATTTTACGTTCTGCCTTTTTACTTATTTCATGCCAATTTGCTAATGAATCCAATGTCCTAATTAATAAACATTTGGATTATTTCTAGTTTTTGCCACAGTAAGTCACTAGGCCTGTTCTGGACTAAATATTTGTGTCCCCTGCAAATCAATATGTTGAAGCCTTAACCCCCTGTGTGATGGTACTTGGAGGGGGGGCCTTCAGGAGGTGAGATTTAGATAAAGTCATGATGATGGAGCCCTTACGATGCTACTAGGGCCCTGATAAGAAGAGGAAGAGACACCCCCATGTCCCTACCATGTGAAAGTACAGCAAGAAGGTGGCTGTCTACAAGCCAGAAACAGAGCCTTCACCAAAACTGGAATCCGCCAACACCTCCATCTTGGACTTCCCAGCCTCTAGAAGTATAAGAAACAATGTCTGTTGCTTAAGCAATCCAGTGGTATTTTGATATATCAGCCTAAGCTGCTTAAAGACAAGAACCTAAAGTGATATAAACAACTGCCAAATATCTATTTGGCTCTCCACTACTTGACTTCTGAGCTTTTGGTAAGAGAACAGAAAATAGGACCACACTGCCGTCACAAAGCACAGGACAGAGGATGGGGATGTTCACCCGCCCCTGGGTCATTCTGGGAAGGCTGGTGTCTCTGCAGCTTCCACGGGTCACATCTATGGTGAACAGGCTGGTGAGGGCAGAGGACACAGGTGGACCTGACAGCAGGATGACTTCAGGGGAACCGGGGCTGAGTCAGGTGGTGAAGTCAGACAGATGGAGGCTGTGCTACCGCTCAGACCACCACCAGCAGAGTGTCTGAAAAACCAACCCCTTTTCCAAGAAATGTCCCACTGGGCTTCTTTGTTTTAACATTCTCTTTTGAAAAACTCCAAACCTACAGAAGAGTTGAAAGAATAATACAATGAATACCATACACCCTTCACCCAGATCCGGCAATTGTGAACATTCTGCCATCTTTGCATTCTCTCTCTCCATACACACCCACACTGTAACCATTTGAATCATGACATGTCATCCCAAAATGCTTCCGCATGCATCCTCCTAAGGACAAGGACATTTTTTACACAGCCATCTGCCAGTATCATACACCAAAAATTCAGCATTGATTCAACAAGATTATCTAACACACCCATTCATTTAAAAAATGTCTCGGTTGTCTCCAGTATGTCCTTTATAGCTCCCTACTCCTATCCCTGATGGAGAATCCAATCAAGGATCAAGATTGTATTTATTTGTCATATTGCTTTAATCTCGTAAATCCCAATTAAATCTAGAAGAGTCTCCCTGTGTGCCTCATGACGCCAGCCTGCTGCCTTGCAGGAAGTCCCTACTCAGTCTTTGAGCAGAGCTAGGCCCCAAGCACAGAGACGTTTTGAGTCCTGGCACAGACAGGAGATTTAACTCTAGTGCCATTCAAATGACCCTTTGCCAATGGCCACTGTTTGGGAATCCGACCATACAGCCTGACTCGAATCCGCATTAGGTAAGAGGCCTGGCAATCCTAAAACCCCAACCTACAGAGGAGCACCAAGAAAGCCCTGACTCCTTTCTTGGTGTCAGCTCTTGTTCTTGACACCAAGAAAGGGGCCAGCTCTTGTTCTTGACATTGTTGGGTCATGATTCTTTGTGTGAACAGGACTTGCCTGTAATGCTTCCTCCGCTGCCCACCCCTAGCTAACCCTTAGGTGAGAAAGGAGGTTCTAGCAGTATCATTTTCTCCTCTGCCTCCCTGCCCTGGCCTGTGCTGCCCTGGGGAAGTAAGGGCTGCGCTGATCCCATCCCCATTTCTTTGGTCCATTTTTCCGGGTCTCAGCCTATAGGGGCCCCTCCCCACCACTTTGTCCTTAGCCAAAGAGGGCACAGTGTGCCTCAAGGATGCTCCTGAGTGATCCCCAGCAGCAGCTGAAGGCTGCTTCCCAGGGCGAGAGATCCTTCTCAATAATCAGCTTTGTAGTCAGAGGCAGCAGCTGCCCCAGCCTACCCAGGCCTCCTTGGGAAGGGAGAGGACTGGATTAGAAAGGAAGCAGTTAATGGAAAACGAAGAGGGAGGGGAGAGGTGAGTTAAGCGCTGCTCCCCAGGGCAGTGACTTCCCAGCTAACAGCAGTGGAGTTACCCTCCTCCCTTGCTGTTACTGGGGTTTGAGTAGGGAGGGAGGGAGGAGGCTGGCAGAGGGCATCGGCCCACTTCCCAACCCCGATTTGAGTTATCTTCCCCAGGGGAACTCTCTCCCCTGCCCCCCGCCCCCATCCTCCAAGCTCCAGCAGTGTGCTCATCAGAAGAAAGCACTGAAAGCTCTTAGAAACACTGGAGTCCACTTGAAGACAATTTCTTTTCCTCTTTTTTTTTCGCTTGTCACTGACTTGAAGCTCATAAAGACAATTTCTAAGCAGCTTCTTAGGTTAATGCCACCACTGGGAGTGGGTGGGATGAATGACACAGTATCTGTGTCCCCACAGCACCTGGCTTAATGTTTGCACGCAGGAGTTGTGGGAGCTTTGGCCAGCTCAGGAGGGCCCAAAGCGGAAGGGCACTGACTTCAACTGAATTCTCCTATCGGGTGGGTTCTCTCCGGAGAGTGCCTTACTGGGAGGACAGACACAAGCCTCAAGTCATCCTCACTGGCCCCTATGTCAAGGGGGCTGCCTGGTACACGAACCTCCATACTGCCTTGTCCTTCAGAGCACCTGTTCAGCCTGAGAGGACGTGCATTCACCCAGAGAGAGGCAAATGATTCGAGGGCCCCTATTTAAACACCACTGAACCTATTCCCGTAGGTATCATATATGCTGAGAGCCCAAAGGCCTTGTAGAAAGTTCTTTAAGCGCCCTACTCCACAGGATTGAGATCCGATAGGGCGCCGCTAAAGGACATTTTGCACTTCAGTCCAGAGCCTGGTGTGGGTGACAAAGCCCTGTAAGGCTAGGGCTGACTGGGGCTGCACGACCGCTCCAGAACTGTCTACAGGCCTCTCCTGCTCCCACGAGACCTCGACGGAGGCAGGAGTCCCAAATATGGGCGCAAACACAAAAGATCAGCACATGTGCAAACCCACCCTCCTCCACCATCACCCAGTGAGGTCTGCGAGCCCACCCTAAGCAAGAACCGCAGGGCCTGCCCCACCTCCATCCCATTAAATGGGCTGGGTTAGAGTCCTCTCTAATGACACAATTAGTCACCCACTTGTCAAGCAAAGCGCCTGCTCAGAGAGGGTCTGGCGCACTTACACAGCAAACAGAAATGCCTCTGAGCACCGCCAGGCTGCCTCCTCCTCCTCCCCCGAAGGGCTTCTCTCCAGGGTAAACCATTGTGTCCAGCACAGGACAGAGTGGGCACGCTGACACGCTGACAACGCAGCCCGGCTCTCCTCCCTTCCAAGAAAAGGAGCTCAGGGGTAAGAACAAGGGATTCCAATCCGACTAGAGACCCTGGTGGTGGCTTGGACCAGCCAAGCGCGGTGAACTCCTGGGGACATGGGCACATAGGTTTCCAGTCTAGAGTGTAGGGACTGGGATGAGTGGATGAGGGAAATCCGACTCTTCTCCTGATATCCCCAGGCAGGGCAGGGTGGCCAGGGCCGAGCTGATGGACGGCAGGGGGGAGGCTGGGGCAGAGGCAGGGAGGGAGCTTTGGGGTGCTTATTGCTACTCCAGGAGGGCTTTATCCTGCAGCTTCACTCCTTCCAGGCCTGGCTTACCTACCACGGGGGCGGGGGGAGGCAGTAGGGTGTTAGGAGCAGACAGATGTGCAGCTTGAAAACGACAAGGAAAAGGACTCCTGGGAGCGGGTGCCTTTTCTTTCAGTCCCAGCCTATGGGCTTCACAAAACGCCACAGCACTGCCTCAAATCTGGAGTTCAAACTGACTGAAAAAGAAAAGCCAGCCTTCCTCCCTCACCCCCAAGTGCTACTTTTTCAACATCAATGTAACTCTTATGGCAGCCCTCGAAATAAGCCGCAAGCACGTGGATTTGGGAACCGGTGGGCGGGAGGGGCCAGAGGTGGGTGTGGAGCAAAATTCCAAGTCCCGAGGCCTGGGAGCCGGCAGCTGCGGAGCACGCCCTGGGCTGGGGGCAGGCGAGGGGAGGCAGAGAAGACGCCCCAACAAACTCCTTCCGGCTCGGCCCTCGCCACACTTTTTGGGGGAGGTCGGTGAGTTTTCGGGGCTGAGGCTTAGCACGGCGGGACCTGCATTTCCTGCGGGCTGCGGGCTCCGCGCTTCCCGGGGGCAGCCTGGCCTGGAGGCTGCGGCCCCGCTCCCTGGCTCTGCGGGATGGGGAGGGCGCCGCGGGGGCCCCGGTGCGTACCTGCTTCGCCTCCGCCGCCTGCTCCTCCGCCTCCGCCGGCGCCGCTGTGGGCTTCCCTGGCCCTTCGGGCTCCCCCGGCCCCGCGGGTTCCCCGGGCTCCCCCGGTCCCGCGGGCTCCCCCGTTCCCGCGGGCTCCCCGGGCTCCTCCGGCTCCGCGGGCGCGGCCGCCGACTCGGGGGCGTAGGGGGTGGACAACGCCGGGGCCCCAGTGGCCTCGGCCGGGGGCGCGGGCTCCGGACTCGCGGCCACCCCACGCCGCACCAGCAGCCAGGCGAGCAGCAGGGCCAGCGCCGTGGCCAGCGCAGGCAACGCGGCCAGCAGCTCGGCTGGCGCCTCCATCGCGCCGCCGCCGCCGAGTGCCTGCCCGCCGGGACCCCGAGGGAGCCCGCCGCACCCCGCCGCCGCGCCGCGCCCCGCCCCGGGGCGGAGCCCCCGTCGCCACACCCCGCCCCCGACATCCTCCGCCCCGGGGGTGACGCACAGGCTGGGGGCGGGGATGGGGGGCAGAATCCTGACCCCCTCCCTGGGAGGCACAGGAGGGCCAACCCCTGCCAGGCCTGGGCAGGCTTGACGCTTTGGGGCAGTATTTGACTGAGCCCAGGTTCAATTTGAAATACTGTTATCAGGTGCCCTTAGGTTGTCATCTTTTCGCCTTGGTACGGCAGTTCATCTTAGAGCATTTTGGAAATATAAGTGCTAGTTGGGGAATGCAGAGAGAAAAGTAAACCCGAGAAGGTTCATGGAAACGACGGCCTGGATTGCCTTGTAAAACAACAAAAAGCAACTATAAAGCCGGATTACGTGTGCCGTTTTACAGGCCTGTCAGGAGTTGCTTTCAATCCTTAGGGTTGCCTTAATGCATTTACACAGAGGACATCTCCAGATCCTGGCCCAAGAATGCGCCTCCGGGGCTGAGGCCAGCAGCCTTCACCACAGGCATCCTGGTAACACCGCTCTGGGCCCCTAGACCTGAAATTCAGCTGCAGCTCTTTGGTCAATGCCATCCCTCTTACCGGACTTTCTTGCACAATTCCAGAATGCCTGCAGGGTGGGAGGGTGCCATGAAGGAAATGAAGGCCATTGTTTTTGTTTCTCCAGATCCTCCCTGGCCTCTGTTGCTGAACAGTGGATTTTGAGATAAATACGTTGTAACCAAAAGCGAATTTTCCTACCACTCCCTACTCCACTCTTTAGTTATTTTTAATAAACACAGGAGGGTCATGCCAGGTACCAAGCCAAACATAAGGCCCAATGTTAAAGAAATACAGTTCCAGTTTTTGCTTAGGATGCATTTAATACTTTTTTGGGAAAATTACAGTGCCTAAGCTGATGTGTGATATAAACCAAGATGTTAGATGGAGTGCTTCTTTTTTTTTTTTTGAGACGGAGTTTCACTCATGTTACCCAGGCTGGAGTGCAATGGCACGATCTCGGCTCACCGCAACCTCCGCCTCCTGGGTTCAGGCAATTCTCCTGCCTCAGCCTCCTGAGTAGCTGGGATTACAGGCACGCGCCACCATGCCCAGCTAATTTTTTGTAGTTTTAGTAGAGATGGGGTTTCACCATGTTGACCAGGATGGTCTCGATCTCTTGACCTCGTGATCCACCCGCCTCGGCCTCCCAAAGTGCTGGGATTACAGGCTTGAGCCACCGCGCCCGGCCTGGAGTGCTTCTTTTTAAATGAACGATACCCAAACAAGACCCCCCAGCAACAGGGAGAGCTGAATCCTGCTGCACTGCTTAAGAGGGCCTTTCAGTAGTGGTTGATGAAAAAAGCCCCGGAACTATAAAATGTGGAATAGGCTTTATCTATGGGCGACTACCTTTTGACCACTGTGGAACTTTCAGCCAGTGTATGGGCCTATTTTTTCTTTTCTTTCTTTTTTTTTTTTTTTTTTTTTTATAAGAGACAGGGTCTCACTATGTTGCCCAGGCTGGAGTGCAGTGGCTATTCACAGGCATTATGATAGCTCTCTGCAGCCTTGAAATCCTGGGCTCAAGTTATCCTCCTGCCTCAGCCTCTTGGGCAGCTGACATTATAGGTGTGCATCACTGCTTCTGGCCCAGGGCCTTCATTTTGTGCCCTATCCCATTGTTTTAAAGTATAAATACATTTTTAAAAGGTCCTGTTCTGCTGACAGACTACATTCTATTGACTTTCAAATGAGTAGGAAAGAAAAAGACAAAACAATGCTAAAAACACAACTCCAAATCACGTTGCTTTATTTAAAATGATGAACAAGTTTCACCCAAGTGAAAGTTAAAAATACCAACCCAATGGCAGATCCACAGGCATTTCATGGCAGATCCCATGGCTAGACGGACACAGAACTAGGAGACTGCTCTGTGTTCTGACAACTCCAGGATGCACAAGTGCGAAGGTAATAGTCCCAGCTCCTCCGCAGCATCCAGTCACCGTGGAGACAGCTGGCCTGGGCTAGCTCTCCTCCCGGGAGGCTCAGTGGGGTTTAGATGTCATTTCTTTTTTCTTTTTTTAGACAGAGTCTCACTCTGTCAACTCAGGCTGGAGTGCAGTGGTGCGATCTCAGCTCACTGCAACCTCTGCCTCCCGGGTTCAAGTGATTCTCCTGCCTCAGACTCCCAAGTAGCTGGGATTACAGGTGCACGCTATCACACCTGGCCTTTTTGTATTTTTAGTAGAGAAGGAGTTTCACCATGTTGGCCAGGCTGGTCTTGAACTCCTGACCTCAAGTGATCCACCCCCCTTGGCCTCCCAAAGTGCTGGGATTACAGGGGTAAACTACAGCACCTGGCCAAAATTTCTGAACTAATAATGACACAAAGTTGAGAGCCACTGACTGGGGTGCAAGTTCATCTAGTTTTGCTGTATACAATGTCACATATTGACATAAGCTGGTGAGAGGGCAGAGTGGAAGCCGCCACCAGACTCCACTTCAAATCCACCAGCAGTACCAGCACACGCATCAAAAACAATTTACTCACGGAAATACTATATAGACAATCTAAAGAACCTACAGCTGGGGCATCCTTATATGCCTGCCTCCTACACAGCATATTTTACATTTACTGCAAAAATTTTGTTCCATCCTATACTCTTGTCTAATGTCCTAAATCCAAGGCCGAGTCTCTAGTAAGTCTGTAAAGCACCTGCACCAGCAACCTTCCCACGGATCCTGTTTTGCTACCTTATGAAGAAACTGTTACTACCTTAAGTATATAGCGATGTGAATCACACTCTTGCACGTAGATCTGGTACACCTGCATTTAATAAGGTCTGCACTGCCTTTTCTGGTTGTGGAAATGCACAGGTACAGGTCTACCCACCCTCCCCAGCGGCCTTGTGAACAGCTGCACAGCCACTGTACACTAAGCTTGTGGAGCTCGTCAGGGACCTGGGCTTGTAACCACATCTCCTGCACCCAGAGCAGTGCCTGGCCCTCAAACATCCGCTCCACGCTTGCATTATTAAGACATGGACAGCTGCAAGAATACAGCAAAATGTGAATAATGCCCCTCTTTTTAGTGGCTCTCCCTTCAAGATGTCACCCTAAACATCCCAGCACCACTAACTGCAGAGGCACATGTGTGCAGTAGGATTCTTCAAGCTGATGGTGAAGCCTCATTCGCAGAGAGAGCCAGGCCCTCCTGATGTTCTAGATCCCGCACTCATGTCTCTCCCATCCTGCTCCTTCCATCAGAAGTTAACAGTCCAAGATCCCTTCTTCCAGGACCAGCTCTTTGGTTTTAAGATTTGCTGTCATCTTGGAGAATCATCCCTGAAAATAATCTAAAGTTATCTCCTTCACTTCACTGTTGTTGGCACCATTCAATGGAGTAGCTCACGCCAGATGGGAAGAAGAGTTGACGTCTGAACAGGTGGCCTCTGGGTACCCACGCTTCCTACTCTACCCTGACCACCCGCCACCGCTCCAGTCCTTTCTCACACGCGGTTGCTCCACCTCGCCCCTGCTGTGCTTACGTAAGGAGCCTGGCTAGCCCAGAGTGACAGAAAGGGGGTTGGGGGGAAGGGCTGCTGTATCCCTGGCCTGGCAGGAAGGAACAAAGCATGTCACAGAAGCACATAATCCTCACTCTCCAGATACCTTCAGGAGAGCTGACTTCGGCCGATCAGATGTGTTATTCCCCTCATTTCTGGATACTGTTACCAAACAGGAATCACCTTTAGCATCTGGAAAAGGAAGACAGGGTGGCTAATCTTTATTTTCTAAATTATTATTTTTTTGAGAGATGGGATCTCACTATGTTGCCCAGACTGGTCTCGAACTCCTGGACTCAAGTGATTCCCCTGCCTCAGCCTCTCGAAGTGCTGGGATTAAGGCGTGAACCACTGTACCTGGCCTGGGTGGCTAATTTTTAAAATTCAAAATTTCTGCTCCACTATCCAGACCACTAGCAACGTGTTCCACCTTGCCCCCTGGTGGCAAAGAGCCTTTTTTGGGCTGTTTTTAATTTTGAACTGAAGTTTAGAGAGGAGTCGTTGATACAAAATTGAGAGGAAGTAAGGAAAAATGCCAAGTATGGCAGCATAGGAGCAATGCTGGGAAAAAGAAAAAAGCTTTTTGAAGATGGCAAGAAAAGCTTTTTCAAAAAGCAGAAGGAGCAACACCACTCAGATATTACTACCAAGAGATTCAGGGTTTGACTTTACTCACACCCAAGCACATCCTGTGCCCACCACGTAACTGAGGGAGCTGCGGGCGTGGGGATAAGGTGGGAGAACAGCCCCCATGGCAGACAGGCAGCACAGTTCTGTCTACCCAGACACACACTGGGGTTGGCATTTTAGGACGCAGAAAACTGAACTAAGACAAAAAGAGGGAACCAGCCTTCTAAAGCCACATGACCCAATGTCAGGAAATGACAATCTGTTAATAAGTGAACAGTGGGCAGAGCCTGTATTCTCCTGGTTATACCCGTTTCTAGTGGGTATTTTGAGAGGCAACAGCACACAATCCTAACGCATCCACACACGGCCTCCGTCCGTGCCTGTGTAATACTGCAATGAGAGCTGCTTCCCTTCTGTCTGCGAATGACTCCAATACTCCAGCCCAGGCAGTGCTTCCCAGTGGGCACCACAGCCTTCACAAACCCCTCTTATTTTTTATTTAAATATAGTTGGAATTTAGGAACAAATTAAGGCAAGCAGGTGAATCAAGAGGGCAAGAGATGGCATCTGCTGGTCAATCCCCAATAGTCATACCAGTTATTTAGAAGTATCAAGATTCCAAAGACTAGAAGCATCTCTGAATTCACTCCCTGTGTGTAACACTTAGTGTCTGCAGGTCAAACAAATGGGGAACACTAATCTCAGAGTACCTGGCACAGTGAGCGCATCTGACGGATCCTGTGGTGGGGAAGAATGAGCCTATTCATACTTTAAGTTCTGTGGTAAGAACACACCGAACACTGTCCCCCCTCTATGCAAACAAAAAACCCAATGTATCACCACCCAAAAAATACACACAAATACCCCTCAAATGTTGCAGTCTCTGTGGTGGTGGAGGAAAAGGTGAGGAACCCTAAGACAGACTGAGCGGTGGGTGACGGTGCTGGTCACTGCCACTGAATGCATCTGTGGACTGACGGCGACGACTCCGAGTCTTTCCGACACGATTGGCTCACACACAGATCAAAGTCCACTCACCACGCTCAGTGTCTCTGCGGTACACAGCCGGCTCTGTGGAAGCTCCTTACCGACATCCGTGGGGTAACAGACACAACAAGACGTTACAAGGATCACACCCCGCCAGCCTTGCAGTTGACTGGCTCGGTTTTCAATGAGACGGCACAGAACCTTCTTACCCAACACCACATTAGCTTGTGTTTCACTGAGCTGGCTGAGCTGTTAGACTTCTTGAAAATCTATCCTTAGGAAGCAGTAAAAACAGCATTTGATCGAAGACAGGAGCTTGGACCAGGGAAGGAATATCCAAATTCAAAGAAGACAGAGAAGGTAGGAGCAGAAGACGCGAGAACTGAGTTGGGTGGCTGCCAAAAGCTTACGATGAAGCCACCTCAGGGAGAGTCTCTTTATCTGCTCAGGGGTGAGCCCGGCCTCCACAAGTGTCCCTAATCCTGCCAAGGAAAGTACAACTGCCTGTAATCAGCACGTAGACAGCAAAAGCTTCCATGCAAAGCTGGAAGGCAATGTTAAAAACAGGACCCCCAGGACCCCACATGGAAGTCATGGCAGGGCTTCCTCCAAAGTTTTCTTACAAATTACAAAGTCATGGATCAAGCGCAGGTATAAATCTATAATAACAGAAACAATTTAAAAGGGCAAGAGTCGTCTAAGTATGGCTGTGAGAGGACAACTAGGGTCGAGAAATGCACATTCAGGTTTGATAAATTCACCTGAGTAAGTCACTTGAATTTCCTCATGGAATTTCGGCTAAACCACAGAGAATGGAGAATACACAATAGCAGGGGCTGTGGGTCCTGCGCTTCCCCAGTGCATTTTAAAAGGACTCAGCTGCTGGGAGACAGAACGTAACAGAAATGTCACCTTCAGCAGTCAAGAGCTTCAGACATTCAAAATCCTGTAAACATCAGTATTAAAAACTTTTTTTTTTTTTTTTTTTTTTAAAGAGACAGGGTATCACTATATTCCCCAAGCTGGTCTCGAACTCCTGGGCTCAAGCGATCCTCTTGCCTTGTCCTCCCAAAATGCTGGGATTACAGGCGTGAGCTACCACGCCGTTTCAACTTTGGTATTTTACTATCTTCCAACAATCTCAACACTTCAACAAGCACATCAAACAAAGACCTGTGGCTTTTAAAGACCCTAGACCAATGCATAGAGTGAACAAATTTCATTATGAGCCCGTTACATGCCCAGGTGCTTGCAAATAGATTACCTTATTGATGTGCTGGTCACTACCACTGTAAATCTTAACTTATTTACATCCGGCCGGGCGCGGTGGCTCACGCCTATAATCCTAGCACTTTGGGAGGCCGAGGCGGGTGGATCACGAGGTCAAGAGATCGAGACCATCCTGGTCAACAAGGTGAAACCTCGTCTCTACTAAAAAAATACAAAAATTAGCTGGGCGTGATGGTGCGTGCCTGTAGTCCCAGCTACTCAGGAAGCTGAGGCAGGAGAACTGCTTGAACCCAGGAGGCGGAGGTTGCAGTGAGCCGAGATC